CCCCCAAACTTTCCCGGGAAACAATCAAACAAGAAAATCGGAGAAACCCAATTTGGAATCAATTGCTGTTATACCTCTGAGGTACTCAAGGAGGGTTAAATGAGCCAAGCCATCAGGCAACACTCTACGAACTCCATTGACATACAGAATCGCTTCCTTGGAACCCTCTCCAATCTGGTCCACTTCCTCATCCGTCTTCAACGACCCCATATCTGATTATTCAGAATCTCAAAGTTTTCTTATTGATTTTTTTTTTTTTTTTTTTTTTTTTGCAATATTTTTTGGCACAAATGAATGATTTGAAGAGAGAATGAAGTATTTAAGCTTTTTCAGAGGTTTTGCACGATATGTGGTGGTTTTGGACAGAGAGGAAGGAGGAAACGCGAGAGCCCACCGGGAAAAATGGCGGAAGGAGGTCTGCGATCGTGCTTGTACAAGCCATTTTTTGTGACGACATGTTGTTGTCGCAAAAAATATTAAATAGTCGTCGTAATTAATCTTAAAACGACGGCATTCTTCTTCACCTCATTAATATTTCTGAGAATATACCCTGGTTCATTTTTGCAGCAACAATTTAACAATGTCGTCACAAATAATTTTAAGAAAACCGCTAAAGTTTCTGCCCTTTTTTTGGGAAAATTAAATCCCCAGTTATTTACGACGACACTATTAAAAAAGTCGCAACAAAAAACAGTCGTCCTTGATAGAATTTTCTAGAACCTCTTTTTCTGACAACACGTGTCGTCGCAAATATAGCCGTTCTGAAAAGAATTTTCTGGAACCATTTTTTGCGACAACGTTTTGCATAGTCGTCGCAATAAATACAGAAATATCTTGAACCTATTTGCGGGAAAGCGCCAAATTTTCCGCCCCTTTTTGGCCACGTCACCGCCAGCTGTAACCATCAATATCTCTGACGACAAGTCCTCGCAAATAATGTACAAACTGGCGCCAAAATTGTTGGCGCCAGATTTGTTTTGGCGCCAATGGGTATTAGCGACGACATTACGTCGCTAATATGCCGTAAAATTTTAGCGACGACATGTCATCGTAATTATTTAAATTTTGTGCAACAACATGTTGTCACAAATATTTAATGTGATGACATGTCGTTAAAAAAATTTGTTTTCTTTTAAGCAACGACATGTCATCGCTAATTCTATAATTTTAGCAACGATAAATGTCGTCGCTAATAACCCTTTTTGTTGTAGTGACTCTGGGTCCCATTCGGTACGTATGATGGTAAAAAATGAACAAGATAATTAACTCTAACAGCAATTTGGAGCCATTCAATCTTCTCATCGAGTCATAAGTAAGATAAGATGTTCCATTTATTTATTTTTTATATATGTATAGCCACTTACCAAAATTGAGAGTAGAAACGGCTGAGTTTAGAAACTATAGGTGCGTTTGGAATTGGTTTTAAAATGATTTTGTTTTCAATAAAAAGTAAAAATGAGATTGTTTTAAAAATCATTCTGGGACCGATTCTGAAATTATGTTTGGTTAGTTTTTTAAGAGATTGTTTTGAGTATAATAAAAAAGTGAAATCATGTTTATTAATTAATATATTATAATATTATTGATAAGTACTAAAAAATAAAAACAGAAAAGTGAAAATAACTTTCAACCGTTTTCTAATTCCTTCATCAAAATCATTCTCATTATTTTCGTTTTCAAAACATTTGCTAAACAAGCGTCGTTTCTTTTTCATTTTCATTTTTTACTTCTCGAAATACGTGAAAATCATTTTTAACAACGGTTCCAAACACGCACTAAAGGGTGTGTTTGGTTTTGTTTTCAAAACGTTTTTGACGTTTTTCTACGAGGAAAAAATGAAATTGAAAACGAAATGGCGTTTGTTTAGGAAATGTATTGAAAACGAAAACAGTGAGAATGATTTTTGTGAAGGAATTTAGAAAACAGTTGAAAGTTGTTTTTACTTTTCTGTTTTTATTGTATAATACTTATCAATAATATTATAATATATTAATTAATAATTATAATTAAACAAGATTTTATTATTTTATTATATTTAAAATAATTTTGTAAAAAAATTAACTAAATAAAATTTTAAAATTAGTCTCAAAATAATTTTTAAAATTATCTTACTTTTATTTTTTAATAAAAATAAAATCATTCCGAAAATGTTAGCACGATATTTGCGATTTCCATTTGGGGATTTGTCGAAAGTGGAAGTGTGGAACAGGAGGCTCCGCATGTGACGCAACGGATGGCTGTAAAACTACCAAAACTGACCCTTTTGTTTCCGCTTAATAACAGTGTTGCCATTCGCTTCTTTTTTTTTTTTCCTTAAATCTGATGCCATTTTGCTGGGCATGGTTTTCATGGCCATTTGCAATGTCAACTGTGAGCTGACCGGTAGACAGAGCCCTTATTAAGAGTGCCACGTGGCATTTGACAGTTGGTTAAGCATAAAAATGAGTATAACTTGAAAAAAAAAAAAAACCCAATTTGTTTTCCAAAAATCTTTGGGGTGTAATTATAAATATTGAAAATGACTTAAAGTCCCTTAATTAATTATGAAAATCAAATTAGACACACTAATAATCCACAGTTTAGCATAATTAAACATGTTTAATTCTAAAGGGCGTTACAAGTTAGTTACAGTTTAAATACAACAACTTGTTGAAGGTTCAAATACAACAAAAAAGTGACTAGTATACTATGCATCTACTATTGTAAAGTAGGAG